ATTGTGGCTCATTTGCCTGTCCATCAATGTATGAACCCACAACAGCAGTCCTACTGAGGGAAGGGGGGAGACTTTTATGTATAAAGTGTCTTTGATGTTTGCAGTATAATAAACTCTCTCTGAGCCGACAGAAATGAAAGTGTGGACCTGGGAACTTAAGAAGGAAATTCAACACATGAAGAAGCCGTTTACTCTCAACAAGAGCATTGATTTATATTATCAGGAGAAATGGTGGCGAGCTACAGTGTCCTAGAACCACAACTGTATGTTCACACTATAGTCAGAGTCACAACTAGTCATGTAAAAACATTTTTACTGTATTTTGTTGTAGTTTATTTGTCATGAACAATAAATAAAAAGGTAACAGCTTACAATAACATGATGCAGATGTGTTGCATGTAGGTAGGACTGAGGCTGGTTAGGCTTTTCTGCCTGGTTTGGCCATTCTGGGCTACTGTAGAAACATGGTGGCCTCCATAGAAGAGGACCTGCTCCCTCTGTAGATAAAAACAGCTCAAAACATTGACTTTTCATTTCAGGTGATTAATCAATTAATCAATTATTACAAAAGATGTCAGTACTCTTGTACTGTAGGTTGGCACTTTGTTCAAATACTATTTGTTTTTACAACCAAAACCAACCAGATTTTCTTGTAATATAATTTCAATTAAAACCCTATATAATATATATGTATATATATTTGTAAATAGCAGACTCTCTTTACAGTCTAGGATAAGGTCCGATGTTGCTACTGTATGTTCTTGTTGTAAAGCAGCAACATGTACCTTTTTTTATGTTGCATCTTATTCTCATCATACTCTAATTGTATGCCACTGATCAGACTTGCCAGGAAATCTGATGGATCGCTTCATGGCACAAACTGGAAAGAGATCAGGTGCGGTTTTGTCTGTGCAGATGATGAAAAGAGTGAAAGATTAATGGAAAAAATCACTTCCAGCTTTATCCTCCTCAATAAAGCTAAATATGATGAAGAGCGGGTGGTTTGATAAGCCATTACATCCTCTGTACACTAAAGGTCTATGAGAAATATGGTTTTAGTTTTGAGAAACAAGCTGCATCCACCACAGTCTCTTTTGTTCACAGTGGTCATATCAAGCTATCGCAGTTAATCTGACAACGGTAGTTCACCTGGAACTAAACAGCCAAATACAACTGTGTGAATTTCAGCCCAAGATATTTGCATTTTTTATGTTGTCACACACATTTAAATTCTGCAGTGACACTAATGACCAATTACAGACAAACACCGAACTCCCTGAACAGACATCACTCTCAGCTGCATTGCAGTGTCGGCAAATGAGTCCAGGATAATGGTCCTCACAAACAGCCACGTCTCCTGCTCATCTAGTCTTGTGTATTGTGACATTTGGATCACAACAAGGACCGCACACACAGATACACACACATAGTCATTACTGGAGGATGAGTGACGCCTGGCAGATATTTTTTTTTTCACACTCTGTTCACGACTTGTATTGTTTTCAGGAGCTCAAGGCTGCAGCACGGAATTGCTGTCATCACATGGGGCAAAATATCATCTGTGTGCAGAGGGAGCTGCTCCAGCTCCGAAAGCACACAGTCACAGCTGCACGTGTGTTTGTCACGCAGAGCAAATACTGCTAGGAAAGGGAGAGGAAGGGGGAAAATTAAAGGAGGGAGGGTGCAGGGAAAGAAGATTTGGGAGGAAGAAGAAGAGAAATACAAGAGGAATGGAAAAAGGAGGGAGCAAAAGACTAAAATCTGACAGTGAAGTAGAAAAGAGGTGACATTTAATTTCGATACAGATATAACTTACATGAGAAAGGCTCCAAAGCTTCTCAACCCATTTGTATCTGATTGCAGTGGCGTAGCAAAAGTTCAGGGCCCTTGAAAACCACCTTTGGCCCCTTTTGTTTCTTTTTTTAAATGTAACCTGTCGCTTCTCTTCCAACAGAAATTTTTTTACAGGATGTAATGTAGAGCCGGTTGTATTTGAAGTCTGATTTATTTTGTAGGAACAGGACATTTTTAACCTGTGAGTAATAGTGGCAGTTTCCCCATAACATCCCTATAAAAATGACCTGGAGATACCTTAGGTACGTTGGCCCCATAAAGCTAAAACTGAGGACACTGCCCTCTATATTTCTTCAGGGAATTCAGATTTTAGCAACATTGAGGAGTTTACATTCAACAGTAAAAGTGAATACATATTTATGCTTCAGCAAGTTTTTCATTAGGTGTTTTTCTACAATAATTTTATTCCTGGCCATGAGAGGGCTTTGAAGGTTTTTCTGCTTGGAAATGAGACAATGAGACAGAATTTATACGTGTTTAGTTGTATTGAGAACTGCTCCATTTAAATAAAACTGCAGAAAGTAAAATTGAACAGCTAAGCCTGAAGAATATTTAAACATTTCTTGTGATATCTGTTTTATTTCTTCAGGGGAGGCGTTTGGGAGTCCTCTGTGTTTCAAAAATCCTGGCTACAGCCCTATGAACATTATCGCCAAGTACTAGATTATGGACAATTTATGCCAGGAAACCAGGATTTATATCCAAAAGAGTTTCACTGTCATTATTCCACAAGTCAACAAAGTTAAATTATATTCCTCATGGTAAGAGATTTTTTTAATTAGGCAAAGTTTTTGGTACCAATTTAACAGTGTAAAGTGTTTTCCCCTGGATTTAATTAAAGAAGCTTGGGTGTCTCTAGGCGGTACTTCTTTTTATGTCATGCAGTGCTCACACTGTGTTGAAAGTCTTCCATGTCAGCAAGACCCTGTTGAGCTCTGGGAGGAGCAACGGGGCACACCTGTGCTGTCTGGAGTCAACAGGTGAACTCAATCTGCCCTGAATCAGTGTTCTGATAATTAGGAGAAGAAGTCAATGCTCTGTTTTCTCTGCCACCAACTAGACCTGTGTTCCCGTTTGCTTGTCAAATAAGTCTGAGGCATGTTATCTCTTAATGTTTGTCAGTCTGATAATGCCACATATTCGTTTAGTTCCACTTATGGTTAATTCTAGTTTTAAACTGATGTATTGTTGTGTATATTATTGTAACTGACTTCAGAGCTATGGTAATTTCACTTTGATTATTAGTTAAAATTGTTAAGATGAGTAAATAAATTTAACTTATATCTCATGCCATACTTCTTTCCCTGTTTGTGTAACTATGTCCAATATTTGATGTCCCTAAGCTCCAGCTCTTAGTTTACACCTAAAACACTGAATCTAAAGAGCTCTCAATGTAATACTCTGAATGCCTGTGAGAGCATGTAGTGGACACCAGGGTATTGAGAACTGGGTTAGCACTAAGCCTGCTGCTGTATTGATCAGTTGGTTGCAGCTTTGAGAGAAAAGCACAACATGGCTTGTATCCAGGGAATATCATATAACTGCCCTCTAAGCCACAGAGAAGAGACTGAAACACCAGTGCTGCGGGACGAAAGCGGAACCCAAATTAGAAATGATTATCCTGATTTGTAAGCCTTCACATTTAATCTGATTCCCTGTGGTACAAAACATGTTATCAAATGCCAGAAAAGATGATTCACATCAAACCAAGATAAATGTATTTGGATATTTGGACTTGATTCTGATTGGCTCCCTTTCCTTAAGAATGGATGAAATCCTTCCACTCAGAATATTGCAGAATTTAGCAGTAGAAAGCTTTGACTCAGCGCGTTTACCTCATGTGAACTAGAAAAGCAGCTATTGATGGTCAGCCAGAGATTTATTAGATTGACAATCTAATCTCCAGAATTATTTAATAAATACTGTTTTCAGTAAAGTCCCATGTTTGCAAACCATTTTAACCAACATTTTATAACATCATAACATATTTAAACCTGAAAGCTTAAACTCAAATGTTTTGACACTGTATCACTCTAAAGGCATCCCAAAATGATGCAGCACATCAAACCTATGTGCCCAGATCTATGTGGCAGTACTCCACCTGCTGGTTGTCAAGAAGAACTACAAGTACACGGGGAGGTGGATTCTGCACTGCAGGATTTATATGCGTTTACAATTTACCAGTGACATTAATCAAGTAACTTAACAATATGCAACAAAACCAGATGAGAGCTCAAATTAGTGTGTTTTAAATATTTAATAAAACAAAATCAACGTGCTTCTGCTTGTAAAAGGAATGAAATTCACCATAGCAAAAGGAATCATTAAAAAAAAAATGTTTTTGGAAACTGGTTGGAGGTGGGTCAACATTTGACACTGTTTTCTTGATATTTGAATCAGGTGCTCCCTTGGTATTAAGGTGCCAACAAAATATATAATCTTAAATATGTGGGATGATCATCTCAAGGTTTGCACACAAAAAAAAGTGCATTTGGAGAGGGCAATATAGACAGAAGATAAGAAATGGATTCAAAATAGAATTTTTGTTTTTCGGCACTGTTGTTTCATGACAGTGACGGAAAGGAGAGCTAAACCCTGACCCTACAACCAGCTTGGTCAGATTTATCAGACAGGTTCCCTTATTTTAAATAATTAGAAATGCGAAAAGAAGCATGTGCGATATAAAGTTGCCTTGACTTTAACCATCTCAAAATAAAATAGTTGGAAATAATAACAAATCTGATGTCCCTTTTTCCTGATAATCCTAAATTATAAGTGATTCTGACAAAAAATACTGGACAAAATACAAGCCTAAGTTCTTAACTTTTTTTTTAAAGTTTAAAACCTCTGATTACACTTTAGAGCAGTTGTTAACTAATGACCGGAGGGGGGCAGCAATACGCCAACGCATCCCCTGCTCTGCCTGAAACACAGGAGACGAAGAAGAGGAACCGGCCATACAGGACGCAGTTTAATCAGGCAGCTGCACTGTTGACAACAACCGCCGGGCAAACGCTTTCAGTCGGGTAACTCTACACCATTACAGTACATACATATTGTAGACATGGGTGTTTTACTGGTAGTATATTGTAATTTAATGTCGCTGTCTGTCTCTCTGTCTGTCCTTTCTCAGTTGACTCGTTGTCATGGAGCGATGCTTTAGGTAGGAAGAGCACAGGAAAGCGCTTAACTAAGCTACTAGCTTCTCTCGTTTACCATATGCTTCGGTTAGCTTCTGTGGTGCCTTCATAAATGGCTAAAATGCCAAACAAATTCACAACTGGCATAAAAGGGGGGTCGCAGTTTTTGTTTGTTCTTAGCTCGTTGACAGTGTTGCTCGATGTGCTTTGGGTAGCTCAGATGTAGAGGACGCGACGCCGAACTCCACTCAATAATTGAGCATTTTAAAAGTTCCCCTGCTTCTCAGCTACAGGACACATTTAACTGTAACTATAGACGACTCAACAGCTTTTCTTAATCGTTCAGAGCCACCTTAGTACATCTGGAATTTGGTTATCCTTATAACACAACTAGTAGCCTTTATTCCAACAAAACTGTTAATGATTGCCCATCACTTACTGGATGGGCAATACGCTGCAATTTGGTCAAACATATAGAGTTATATGAGTCCAGAGGGGTTAAGCCAACCTGTTATACATCCCGAATTAAAGAACGGATTTGGTTAAGCAAAGTAATGAGTCATAGTCGCTGGATGGGACATTAAACATTTGGCTATAAGCCAGAATGACTTGAATTGGCAGATTTTGTGTAGAATTTGGCCCATTTCAAGGGCAGGCAAATATATGAAGCACAATAAAGCCTTGCTGTAATAGATCAACTGTGCTGCTTTGACTGCATGCTTCATTTTTTAGATTTCTCTTAAAGTTGAAGACGTTTGTTTCCTCAATCTCTGGTTCTCGCTCATGATTTAAGAACACTATTATGTTTTTGCATGTCATTCTGAGTGCATGTGTCCAATCCGTCTTCCACTAGCTTGTGAAGCCCAGTCTGTTTTCTGCCGTTGTTCCAATAACTCTCTCATCTATCCTTGTCCTTGTTTGAAGTGTCAGCAGGGATGACTCTGCTCCTTGCTCCCCACCTCCTCCAGCATCGCCTCCTTCTCCTCCTCAGGCCCTCCCTTCTCCTCGTCACCCCCCTCCTCTTCCTCCCTCCTCTCCCTCGGCAGCCCTGACTCCTCCTCCCCGACAAGGAAGGCTGAATTGCGCTGGAGCCATGGTGGACGTCAGCAAGTGGCCCCTCTTCTCTCTGCTGAGCACTGAGGAGCTGGCCACAGTTCGACAGGCCTGCGTCTTCGGGACCTCTGCTAATGAAGTCATCTACATCACACACGGCAATGAGGTGAGGAGTGTGCAAACGCTGCGATATCTTGCCTCTTTTTAAGCTTTTAAAGCATCGTTATTTCTTTAAAAGCTTTTAGACTTCCTAATTGTTTCATGCTTGTTCGTCTATTTGTTTTTTTTTAATGGCGTAAGAAGAACATGGGTAATAATATGTCCCTAAGGATAGTATATCTCTAAAAGCAACTAGTGATAATCAATGTGAGTGCATGCTGCTTGTGCGTTGTTTAGCGGAGGTGGTTAACCTCCCAGATCTTGATGCATCTTGTCTCAGTTTATTTAGGACACGATTGCCTAAAACATGGCCAGACTGAATGGTATTTGGAGTGTGAAATAGCACCCCTGTTCTTTTTCATA